ATCAAGGAGGATCAGTTCTTTCAAGATTATGGTTACATCTTGCTGATGAGTGCCAAGCAGTACTTAATTTATGTCCAGGGATTCCTGCTGACTACTTCTAACCACCCAACATTTCAACATTGTACATACGACGTTAAGTCACTTACAATACTAGTCAGATTGCAATTTGATAGGGAGAATACAATCAATACTAAAAAGCTTGATAAACATCATACTGACCAATACTTAAAGATAAGACAATTATAAACTAATAGATCTAGTGAAACTGTCTTTATATTTCCTTCCATGAATTCTTTTAGAAATTCCACTGCCCAAATTCAATATAAACAATTTTATCATCGGAACGATAAACAATATAGTTAAAATCATGTGTCAATTGAAGCTAGACCACCATGGAAAACCTGGAAGCACTGGACCGTTGGATGCCGGCTGGCTCAGTGGTCTGTCGGTTAATTGCTCGCGCGCGAGACTGATTGGGCCTGGGTTGGAATCTCGCTCACTAGGCGGGATCGTGAATGCGCACTGATGAGGAGTTCCCTAATAGGACGAAACGGCCTTCCAGTACTTCTAGGATTTTCATGATGGTCTGGCTTCAATTGACTCATGATTTCAATTATATAAAATTACTAGAAATCTCCACAAAATCCCCTTCCTATACAATTCTATTAAGTATTTCTATGTGTTGATGATTTATAGGTATGAATTATATTTTTAGAACAAATCAGAGATCTTTTGATAGTTGTTTCTTTCTTATATGTTATTCATCTGGTGATTGTAGTATTCACCCTATACTGTATCAAGTTAGAAAACCTTTAGATCTAATATAATAAGAGGGTCTTAATGACCCATAAAATTAATTTCCTTTCAGTTCATTATGTTTATTATTTTATTGATATCATGTACATAAACATGTTAGTGACCTTGTCTTTGATTTCAAATTATTCAACGGTTTACGCTAATTTCATAAGCAATCATCCCCTTGATATCAGTACTTTTCATCTATTAACCGTCTTTTTTTTTTCTTTCATTTAAACATTTTCACAGTTGAATTCATAAGTCAATCTAAGCTAGACAATTATTGAAAACCTGGAAGCACTGGATGGCCGTTTTGGTCTATCATTGTTATCATTGTATTTACACTCGTGTACTTGGGTACATGTGTATTATAAAGTTAGTTTTTTAATGTTACAGTCATTGTAACCATTTGGTTAATTTATTTGTTACTGCCTATAACTCATGAAACCGATCATAGTCCATTAATAGATCCTGGGAGTTTCCCCGTACTCATATCCTCACTTGGATATAACCGATTTGACCTACTTTATATAAATCATAACTTATATAAACAAAAAAAATTCAAATTCACCTCAAAAATTAAATTGAACGGAAAAATCATTGATCATATTCATTGTTTTTATCTTTCTATGATGGTAATGTTACAGTGTAAGCACTTAAAAAGAAGAATATTTAATTACGATGGTAACACATACCATGAATGTGATATCAATCATGATTAAAATTGAATTATTTTAGTCATGTGATTAAAATTCTTTAAAACAAAGCCAAACAACAAAAAACCATATGACCAGACATTTTTATTTTCGTGCGGTGATAATTCAAATGCCAAATAAAATCAAAACGTTTCATTAAAACACAATGTAACCCATGAGATAAAAATAGTTTTTTTTGTTGGTAATTGTAATAATAATACAGAGTTATTATTACATGTTTACATATGCAAACAAACAAATGGACTAGAGCCGAAACTATATGACTGTACCATTGAGAATGCATTACTTATTACATGTATTTGAAAAGATTCTTTTTTTTACATGACAACTTCTTAGTCACCATAGATGGAATGATCGCTCGATTTTCTCTTTCTCTCAGTTATATAATATGAAAATATAAACTTGATCATAAGCGTTGGACACACACACACAATAATTAATTACATTTTAAATTCACATAGTATTGTTTGATCATATATCTTCTCATTGTTGTTTGAGGACTGCAATTGATCAGTCTCTTGTTGGCATATGTGCATCCTGTGCGGATTGCTTCGATATTGCCTGAAGTCACAAGCTTTATAAGCAAAGATGGATGGTGACTAGCTATAGAATCTAGAACGCGCGTTTCGTCCTAGTCGAGACTCATCAGCTGACTGTACCTGCATCCCAGAGTTGATGTTCACTCCGGGTCTCGAACCCAGTATCAGGACTCAGTAGCTAAGTGGATAACGCAAAGGCGTTTGAAGCGAATGGCACTAGATTCGAGTCCCAGAGTGAACATCAAATCTGGAATGCAGGTACAGCAAGCTGATGAGTCTCACGTAAGATGAAAGGCGTGTACTGGATTCCACTGCTAGCCACCATCCATCTTTGCTTATAAATTACATTTTAGTTTGACAAAATACTGTTATTCACAAATAGATCAATTTATAATGAATTCACCAGTTTGTTTGAGACTCAATAAGCTTGATTATATCATCGTCATTGCTTCCAAAAGTAGTGATCACCATGTTAAAACACAGTTATATGAAAATATTCAATTTGGAATAGAAAACAGCTTGTTCTACTGCTGAATAGTAGGTAGTATTTACTAGAAAGCTATTGTTGTTGAATTATATATAGTTAAGATCATGAGTCAATTGAAGCTAGACCACCATGGAAAACCTGGAAGGCCGTTTCGTTCTATTGTGGGACCCCTCAGCAGTGCGCTTCCATTATCCCGACTCGCGAGATTCAAACCCAGAACCTACCGGTCTCGCGCGCGAGCATTTAACCGATAGACCACTGAGCTGGCCGGCATCCAGCGGCGTTAATGCCTAACCTGAACCAATCCACGAAATTGCGCGACCGGCTCCCATTGTACTGAGGTACTCAAATTCAAACCTTACGAAGAGCGCCTCCAATCACTTAACCTTTACCCGTTAGAGTACAGGCGTCTCACAGGTGACCTTCTTATGACTTAAATTATGCTTAATACTTCTGGTCATCCCCTTAAACATCTTCTTAAGCTTAGTCATAACACTAACCTAAGAGGTAACACCCAGAAATTGGAGACCCTACATAGCAGAACAAACTGCAGACACAACTTCTACTCCGTAAGAGTTGTCAAATGCTGGAATCCCTGCCGACTGAGCTAGTCCAAGCGACCTCCCAGGAGTCCTTTAAGGGGAAACTTGACTTATTTTTAAGGACTAAAGATAACATATTATTATGATTTACCAAATTCTTTTTTTCCTCTATTATCGTTAATATACCTAGGTTTTCGCCTGGAGGTATTGGTGATCCACTGCTACTAGACACGGAAGCCCGTTAAGCGAAAGCTTCTTCTATTCCGTCCTCAACCATTTGAACCTGTCTCTATTTGACATGGATTAGCTCCACTATCGGTTACGCTCTCGGGCACGAGACTGATAGGTCCTGGGTTCCAATACTGCAAGGCGGGATCGTGGATAGCCACTGTTGGAGAATCACACAATAGGACGAAAAGGCCTTTCAAGTTTTCCATGGTGGTCTAGCTTCAATTGACTTATGATATTAACCATATAAAATTACTAAAATCTCCACAAGACCCCTTTATGACAGTTGAATTAGTTTATTTATCAATAGTTTTATTACGCATAATCTCAATTTTCAGTGTTTGACTGTGATTATTATTGACATTGTATGCACTGTTAGTTTGACTTACCCAGCTATCGAACATGACGCCTCTTCATTAAGCGGAATCATTATGCTTAAAGCGTATAACATTATGATATAGATTCTATATAGACAGCCAAAAACCAGCCTGTACAATGACCCATCATCACAAAACGAAAAAACTGATTTAGCTTAAATCTGATAGGCAAGCTTATTTTATTAGCTTATTTAAACATAAATATTGGTACATAGGGGAACCAGATATATATACGCCACAAAAATCTCATTCGATTTGTGTGAGGGTTGTGATGCTGCACAGGTGCACAAACTGAGGCAGGTGGTTTTCTTAGGGGGCCACAACCCAAACCTTTGACTTAAAGATCTGATCCAAAAGGCATTGAAGTATCGTGAGGAGATGCAGTCCCATGTTAGCTGGTGACCAACGATTGATTCATACGCCATTTGTTCCTTCAGGTTACTGGAGCCAGCCCATGAGCACCATTGGTTTGGAATGAGGGTATCCCAACTGCTCTAGGTGAACTTTCCGTGTCCACTGACCCGGTTAAAGTGCCGGACATTCAGTTTTCGTCCTCTCAATTTCGTAAACAATAGTAATGCCACGAGAAAAGCAATGAATAGGACTTCCCTGGCAGAGGCTATATACGCGTGACCAAGTGAGAGCTGACTCTCCCCACTCTCAAACGTATCAGGGCAAGCTTATTATTACATTTAAATAAACTAACCTTAATCCTATCAAAAGAATCCTATAAAACGCATACAGAATGAAAACAATTTTACATTCGATTTTAGTTTTATTAATAACCATAATACTAAAAAAATATTTTTAATAAATAATAAATAACACTAGAAATTAATGATCATTACTGAAAACTGTTTTTTGTTCTTATTTTGATCAATCAAACAACATTAGAATCTCTCTTATGAAGAAACATTTTATTTTGATGATAGAAGTTGAGGGGGGGAAGGAAGTGTAAGAAGTGTAATAATAATCAATTAAATTGATTAACCAATTGATCAACGGAAATGAGAGGATCAAAACAAAAAAAAGAGAAAACAAACAATTGTGTGCCAAATATGATCTTAGAAATAAAATATAAAAAAAGAAATAAGTTAAGAATATATATAGATATGGAGAAATCAGTTTCGTTGATAATAATACATATCTCATGGAGATATGTGTTGATTATACAAGTATAGACTAACGATAGTATAGTATATAGATACGATAGATAGCATAGTATAGACAGTATAGATAGGATAACAAAAGTATAGAAGTTGGGAGAGAACAACAAAGTGTTATTGTTTATTGTTATTATCTCAACTAAAAAACATTTAAACAGGTTTTGATGTACAAGGTACAGAGAATTTTTTTTGACCCACTTCATTAATCACGCAAATATGCTGAATAATGTGAGAAAAAAAGAAGAAGAGGTAATTCAGCATAAATAAATCAACAATTTTCGAACAAAATTACTTCAACAACACTTTACCTAAGCTGTATGTAAACAGAATTTAGAAACTATAGTAAAGTCCTAAACAAGAACCTATAATCATAGTTGAAATCATGAGTCAAATGAGGCTAGACCACCAGGGAAAACCTGGGAGCACTGGACGGCTGTTTCATCCTATTATGGGACTCCTCAGCAGTACGCATCCACGATCCCGTCTAGCGAGCGAGATTCGAACCCAGGACCTATCAGTCTCGCATCAGAGCACTTAACCGATACACCACTGAGCCGGCCGGCATCCAACGGTGTTAATGTCTAACTTCAACCAATTCACGAAGTTTGAGCAACCGTTTACCAATTGTCTTCAGTGAATTGTTATCTCACAACAGACATGGTTGAACTCCACTGGTCAATGCTTCTCACTAGAACTCCAGGACATATCTCTTGAAGTCAGTCACTAGTGAGCATATGATTATAATCAGAAAGGGTTTTTTGTGGAGATTTCAGTATTTTTCATAGTTGAAATCATGAGTCAATTGAAGCTAGACCGGATCAGTGATCTATCGGTTAAGTGCTCGCGCGCGAGACTGGTAGGTCATTGGTTCGAATCTTGCTCACTAGGCGGCATCGTGGATGTACACTGCTGAGGAGACCCACAATAGAATGAAACGGTCGTCCAGTGCTTCCAGGTTTTCCATGGTGGTCTAGCTTCAATTGACTTATGATTTCAACTATGAAAATACTGAAATCTCCACAAAACTCTTTCTGATCAAAAATCTATAATGTTAATTTTAGGTTACTGCATTTATCTATGCACATATGTGCTTTGGTGGCAAAGACCAGTTTTATACGTGAATTTCCGATGAATTTGATGACAATGAGGACGGTCGGGAAAAATCTCTTGGCTCAATTACAAGTGCACAGTTCCCTGTGGTTCTCTGAAAAGATAAGTTACGATTAACGCCTAAAATACAAAATGCTAATTAATGTAAGCTAATTCTGTATTGTATCTGCTGTAGTGTTTGCATGAAATGGCAAAGGCTTTGTACGTTGTTATGCGCATTGTTTTAATTACAGTACAATATCATCGCACAGGTTTGGGAATTGCTAGTGTGTACTTTACATTCAATAATACCAATTATCAGAACTGGTTTCACAATAAAGACACTTACTGGACATTAATTCAAGTGGGGAAGTGATTAGAGATTAAATAGAACTATTCGAAATTTAAAGCGTGACGAGAATGGCATCCAACATGGTGAAATTGCAGTTTATTTCCCTACATTGATCGGTGAACAATGTCTATAGCCTGTTGAAAAACCTAGCTTATTACGATAAACCTATTTCCTTATGGCATGGAATTTCTATAAGAACGTATTATTCAGTCGTGTGAAGAAAAAACCTTAGATGCCAAGACGCCACGAAATGGTTTTCCAAAATGATTAGATAGTTAGAGGTCTCAAACCCGAACTTTAAAAAAGCTCACAAGATCCAGTTTTGAAGAACAAGTGGATATTCGATCGCCCGATGGAATCACTGCTGAAGTAAACATATTGAATCTCGAAAGAGAACTAATAAAAATACTTAAACACTCATTTCAGGAGGTTTGAGATGCATGTATTAACTACGAGGCGGTGAATGAATGAGAGTTGCAATCAACGATGATCTTTTAGTTATTCTAATCCATAGTATTTTCGAGGTTGGATACATTTGCGTTTGGTGATGATGTTCACTCGTGATACTACAAGCAACAATTCAAGAGGGAATTTTAAAGTAGTATACCAAACTGAGTACAAGGTCGGTAAATATCTCTCAATGCTTCAATTATGACAAGACTGGTCACATAAAGTCTGTGTTGTACTACTTATTTCATCGTGTGCAATAATAAACAGACGTTTTCTCCCTTTCCAAAACCTAAAGACTTATTTCACAATGAAGAACCAATCATATTTGTTTAGTGACTTCTTTCACGATTTCATTGTCAATACTACTTTAGTCAAAACTTCAAAGTTGTTGAATCCAGTTATTAGATATACTAAAGTTCCTATTTTGAGTATTGCTGGGAATAAACATGCTATTCGTGGATTTGGTGATTTGCTGGTCAGAGATGATAGTTCTCTGTTTATGACTTGGGAATTTCTCGTCAGTGAGAATGGACTACTTAACACAATCTGGATATACAAAACCTTCATGAGATACACTAGTGTATACCGTCTGCTGAAAGTAATGAGTCTGAACTAACGTATAATGGTGGTTAAGGACAGTAAAAATTTCAAGACTAAAATCTAGTATTAGTTGGACAAATGACTTTAGAAAGTTTCCAAACAGCAAATATTTACAAAAAGGTGTGCCGTACCGCAGCAGTAAATAAACCACAGGTCATCCGTTTTGTTTATTTGTAGCAAATATATTTCAGAAACAGGTGACTAAGCTTTAAGACGCAAAGTGTGTCGTAAAACAATGAATGAGATATTCCACTAACTAGTTGTATACATGCCTATGAACCAATTTGTAAATACTCATTACATAAACTCATGTGAAATTTTATTCATAGTTTCACACAAGAGTATTCAGCAAAATAAATAAGCAAACTTCTATAAGTTGATGTAGCAGACGGTAACTCACGTGCAGGTCACGGAAATTATCATTATAGTCTAAAGCATAGCCAACAACAAATCGATTTGGAACTTCAAAACCAACAACTAAGGATCAAACAGGAAAGAAAAAATGGAACAAAAATAAGAAAAAATATATATAATTTCATGCTTTCCTATAGAAACTTCTAAATCTACACGAATATGGAGCAAAGAATAATTCCAGTGGATATTCGTCCTCTGAACTTGTTGGTTCAAAGAATAAGCATGATGAAAAGTAAAGGCATTTAAAATGATAATATCGGACTGATAAGAATCTCACTAAGAAATAGTAAAATGTAAAATACCAAGGGTTGGACAATGCTTTGAGGATCCACAATCATCTAATACGGGTGTAAATCCTTTTTAACTAAAGTCAAAAGGTTCATGTTTCTCATAAACCCTAAAAGTCAATTTTACTAAGATCCTTGAATTGAATACAAGCCCAGTTTGTAAAACTTAAACAGTTACGAAAATCAACTTATTACGTTGATAAACTGGCAACAAATCCAGTTGACTTACCATACCAGCTGGATTACTTTATATGAATTGAGTTTTGTCGAGCGTACTGTGATGTCACATTTTATAAGACACTTAGAAAGTACATACAGTTTCAGTAAGTTCTACCAAATAATTTTCAGATTACTATCACATGTTGATCACACATCGAAACATTATCTGGGGTTACATTCAGTTCGAGTGTTTGCGACGCAAACTCCCCTAGGTGAACTTTCCGTGTCCACCTACCCGGGTAAATCGGCGGATATTCACTTTCCGTCCTCTCAATTTCGTAAACAACAGTAATGCCACGAGAAGACAGTGAGTAGGACTTCCCTGTCAGAGGCTATATAGGCGTGGCCATATGAGAGCATTTCGAAAGGGAGAGCGGCCTCTCCCCACTCTCAGCTGTACCAGGGCATTTCTAAGATATGTGTGGTCAAATACTAGTAACTTACTGGTATCTTGTACTCTTGGTGACTGTGTTTCGCAGCCGTCAACGAACCGCCGCACAGTATGCTCGTCCCTTAATTGATAGACGGATATCTTGCCTTCGCCATAGATGACGTTAGTTGGTAAGAGCCAAACGAGCTTTTTGAATCCATGCAGAGATTTCGTCAGACACCAACCCATTAGGGCTTATCAGACTTTCAAGTTAAGTGAAGTTGTCGACGCGTTCGACTACTTCACTCCCTATCCTTAGTTCACTTGTTGATTGAAGCCAGTCCTGAAGCAACAACTTGCATTTAGAGGAGGAAATATGTGTTCCAAACATCCTGGCATTGTTGCTCAGTGCTACTAAAAGACTTCAGTTTATCAGCGTCTTCACCAAACAGCACTATATCATCTGTGTATTCTAAGTCGGTAAGTGGACCTCCTGGAAAGAGACTAACTCCTGAAAATGCCGATGTCGAGAACATTATTACATTAGTAAGTCAACGATGAAATTAAACAAAAGTGGAGATGGTGGACAGCTTTGTCGGACACCACTTGAAGTCACAAAATCAGATGACAGTTCGCCATAAGCTCTGACTTCACTAGTAATCTTCCAGTAAAGAGCCTTCACAAGGTTTATGTACTTCTGAAGTACACCTCTCAATGATAGACACTGCCACAGAACCTCTCGGTCGACAGAGTCAAATGTTGCTTTTAAGGCAAGAAAGACCAATATTGTCGGACGCCGATAAGCATGCCTGCGTTCTAAGATCTGACGAATGGTGAATAAGTGGTCGGTACATCCACGACCAGGTCTGAAACCAGCCTGATTTTCTCGTGTTTGCAGTTCACGAGTCTTTGTTAAGCGTACGATAATAATTGAAGCTAGTATTTTAGATACTATATTGGTCAAACTAATCCCTCTGTGGTTGTCACAGGATGATTTTGACCCTTTCTTATATATTGAGACAATCAGTAATTGTGACCAGTCAAATGGGATTATGTCCAACTCCCAGATTTTGGCCAAAATATTAGTCAACCTAATCGCTAAAATTGGACCACCATATTTCAAGACCCCTGGAGCCATCCATCTGGGCCAGCTGCTTATCCTCGTTTTAGATTAGCTATAGCCTCTTGAACTTCAGCTAGAGTCGGGGGACCTACTTCAATGTTCCATTCAGACTGTTTGGGAATGGTGGGTAACTGCAGAGTAGACGGAGGCCAGCTAAACTGTTCTCTAAAGTGTTCCACCCATCGTTTTAAACGTCTGGGCTGAGAGCAGATAAAGGTGTCGTCTTTTTCCGAGATTGTCTGGCTTACAATTGACTTCTTAGTCCCAGTTTCTTTCACTAGTCTGAAAAGCTGTCTGGTAATACCTACAGCTGCTGCCTTTTCCATTTCTTTTGCATTCGTTGCACAACACTGCTCACGGTCTTTCCTTAAACTTTCGGTTAATCTATATCTGATTTGCTTTCACTCTTCATTGTGTTCAGAGCCTGATTTTATTAGTTTACAAGAATCAATCAGTGCAATAGATGTCGCAGAAATCCATTGGTTTTTCGTGACCCTTTAGTTCAAATCACTAAAAGATGTCGCTGTTGTTTCCACAGCTGTTCGTACATCTTTCCAAGCAACGTCTGGGTTAACCTCGTTTCCAGAACTTCCTAAGTGTGACCGTAGTTGTTCTCGGAAACTTATTTTGGTTTTCTCGTCACTGAGTTCAACTCTAATGAGTCTTCCTAATGTGGCTTTTCTGCATCCAGTGAGGCACAAGCAAATGTGTGCTCGTATTAGAGCATGATCAGAGTCTAAACATGTACTCCAGAACGATTGTTAGTCTTATATCAAGCCTCTCCAACGACGCCTGATTGGTTCATTACGATAGGCAAGCACGATCACCACGTCAAGGTAGCAGCAACGGTCGATAGTTCATTAATTTTTTTAATGAAAAGAGTTCATTAAGGCTGTTCGTTTGATTGACACACTTAGATATGTTTTAGTAGTTTTTACTGATGAAAGCAATCAACCTTTACTCAGTAAGTTACAGATTTGAAAACACTTTTACTCATTTAGACATGCATTTAACATTAGCTCTCACTAAAAATAAATTATGACCTAAAACAGATTGCCCCCAAGTGCCCTGGTACAGTCGAGAGTGGGGAGAGTACGCTCTCCTCAAAAGGCTCTCACATGGCCACGCGTATACAGCCTCTGACAGGGAAGTCCTTCTCACTGCCTTCTCGTGGCATTACTGTTGTTTACGAAATTGAGAGGACGAAAAACGAATATTCGACGCTTTAACCGAGTTGATGGACAAAGAAAGTTCACTTAGGAGAGTTAGAAAACCCTGATTCCAAACTAATCACGCACATGGGCTGGCTCCAATATCCTGAGGGAACGAATGGCGTGTGAATCAATCGTTGGTCACCGGCTACCATGGGACTGAATCTTCTTACGATGCCCCACTGCCTTGTGGATTAGATCTTTAGGTCAAAGATTCCGGGTGTGCCCCCCTAAAAACAACCACCTGCTCGAGTTTGGGCACTTGGGCAGTATCACAGCCCTCACACAAATCAAATGAGACTTGTGTGGCGCATATATATCTGGTACCCTCTTGTACCAACATTTATGTGTTTAAATAAAATAAATTAAAATCTTGGAAGTATTTCTCGCATCTGCTGGGACCACCGGGTAAGTAATAGTGAGTTCAAACACAGGGTATTAGAGAATGATGGGTAATCAGTTGATAAGGTTGTAAATATTCACCTACTGAGATGGTTGGGCCACGTGTTACGTATGCCTGAACACCGATCACCAATACGTGCAATGCTGACTATTATTGGGGATGGTTGGAAGAAATTTGGGGGTGGCCAAACCAAAACATGGCATCAGTGCTTGAAGTCACTAACCTCTAGTCTGAGCCATGTTGGTAGATACAGACTACTCGGTTGGGGTCCGCGCGACTATAGTAACCAATGGTTGGAGACTCTGGATGACATGGCTCAGAACCGATTATAATGGTGTGGGTGTTTACACTCTTTGTCTCCCCTTAAACGGTGAGATTAAAATTGCTTCATATCTTTCTTTCTACCAACTAATTCTTCTTCCATGTATCATATACTTATATGAAACCTTTCTTTTATATATTACTATTATTGAAGTAACTACTTCTATGTATTTGGTGTTCATCTTGTTGTGCTAATGAGGTGTGACAACGCGGACCGACGCACATATGTGCCTAGTCATACGCTGTAGCTGACTGACTTAATGAACTCGAAGACATAGAGTAGGCATATATTCAACTACATTTTGGTTAATCTTCATTGAAGGACAGTAAAGATCATAGAACTTCGCCAGGTTTTTTCAATTTATGGCTTTCAATTAAGTACCTAATGACATCATTTTTTTAAAAATATAATCTAATTCGTGACCAAGTCATCAAACATGCTCGAAATGTCTATGGTGACAGACAGACAGACACAGTGGCTTAAATGTCCAGACAAGCATATTGAGTCGGCTCAAAATAGTTATTAATGACGGGTCATTTTCTTCACTTTTCTAATATCTGTATTCAAATTTAGTAGATTAGAGCTAAATAGCTTTTTTATAATACATGGTAGCTTTTCCTGTTTGCGTTGAGTAACAAACTTACTGTACGGGTTACTTGGTTGACTCAGTAAATAAATATTAACAGTGGGTGATGCAATTCACAAACATGAGTGATAATACATATTATACAACTACGGCCAATTGAAATATTCCCACTACGTCTGTATGTTAACATAGATTGAATGATTTTGCTTAAACCAAAAAACCAAACCTAAAAAGTCACAAACATTTACTTACAGTCTGGTCGATATTTATCCCTGGTTGATGTTCGCTTGACGAGGAGGCTAAAGAAAACAGATTTCGGAAATCTCATGATGGAAGATTTGATAAAAACACTGATTTTTAAAAATTTTATAAAAGTTAGTGAAATTTATTCTCTGTTCCCATACTAATTATCATGTAATTCTTACTTCTGATAAATTCAGCAAACTTCGGTGGTTTTTTTCTCCGAGCTGGATGGTTTGATCGTGCTTTTATCGAACTTCTGAACGAGATCACATGCACAAGCTTCAGGTAATGTGACTCACAGTAATTTAGTTCTTCTCTAATCACAAAGTAATTTAGCTTAAAGTATCGAATATCAGATAAAGTTCAAACATATGGTGAACTCAAAAGAGGATGAGGTTGATTTTACGAAGTGCAGTAAATAATATCGAAACACTTAAGAAATAGAGACATTCTACATGAATACACAAGATGTCATATTTTATCAACACTGAGACTACAAAATAAGACGAACGTTTTCGAGCTACTACCTAACGTAAACAATAATGCATTATGAGGTCAGGATAGCAGGAAAGATAGATCTGACAATTTTTTTATATCCAACATTTTAATGTCCCGAGTAATAAAGTAACTGAACACTGGATTACGAGGTTTCATAGTTTATAGAAATGGTACAAACGCTGATTATACTAACTACCAAGTCAATATGTTACCCAAGTGGATCGAAAATGCTAAAGATTTCGAACCACGATTTCAAGTTTAAAAAAAGTAAACAGTACGATACATAGAGGGACGACTGTGATATCATAAGACTGGAAAGATGGAAATATTACAACACATACCTTGCGACTTTAACACTTTTCGTAGACAAACTATCCAAATGACTTATGAGTTTCGTTATTGTTTTTCCTGTGTCAATTATATCTTCGACCACAAGAACATTCTTACAAAAATTATCATTAGGTTGGAAAATACCTTGTCTTTGTATTCCGAAGGATCTCCTAAACCAGTTAATATAGGTTCATGAACACTGACATCATTCTGGTGAATATCAAATAAATTGTTTTATTTATTAACGTACAACATAACTCTTGACACGAACAAACTCGACGGACATTGGTAGGACGATACCTCGAGCACGGACAGTGCGTTCAAGCCCATCAACAAGATCAGCAAGGAATTTAAATCCACCTTTGAGGACACACATTAGTGTGATCGATGTCGCATTACAGGCCTCGTAATAGTCAACAATATCCATTGACATTTTCTCAAGCCTTTGAAATACTTAACTTGAATTTATGATCTACCTATCTTTTATCATACCATTTGGTATGAGAACATAATCCAAGCATCCGTCATACCGAGGAGATGTGCAGAAATACTCCGTGGGAAATCCTCGGAAGCTGTCTCCTATCTGAAGGGATTAGTAAAAAGACCATCCTTACCACAACACAGTCAGCTTTTATCATGTTACTAGACATGTCGTGGATCTGAGGTTTTGAATGATTGCCGTTATCAAGGACAGAAGAGTTCATCCAAACCAAAAGAGATATTACGAATCCACGAGCAATGTCCAATATATATTATTTTCACTATAGTGAAAATCTCTATTTTGACATTCGATAAGTAAAAAGGAACGAAAGTGGAGAAGACATTTCGTTTCAATTACTTTTTCATCATGGCTCTACACTTACATATATATGACTTACGATAATGAAATATCACACTTCGAGTAGATACGTTACGTAATAATTATTTAATGACATATCGATTATAAACTAACATTAATTATTTGGAAGAAAAGATTTATTAGTAATCCAAGTTATTATTTGAAAATCAATTTGTTTCTACGCTATATATTATGCATTATTGTAAATCATATATATATATATATATATATATATATATATATATATATATATATATATATATATATATATATATATAATAGTGTAGAGCCAAAATGAAAGACTAAATGAAAAGAAATTTCTTCACTCCATTCGTTCCCTTTTATACATTATTTTGCTCAAGGTCAGCGAAACTGTCGCACTACCTGGTATTTAACCAGTTAACATTGATGTCGAGAATTACGACAGAAAATCAGGCATTTTACACGAGCAAACGAAATTGTGATTTTTCATTGTCTTTGTGACATTGTACACGCTTCTGTATTGATATTCGATGTCATGTATCTGTCAATTAGTCGTACGATGAGCGTTTCCCATCACGATAATGCAAACCTAATGCTGCTACTCGTGAGTTCGAATACATCGGTTCCTACCACGCCTTGTTTTCTGCCTCATTGTTTCAGTTTTAGTTTCAGTTTGGAAAGGACAGAAGGCTTGATGGCCTGTGTTAGTCCTGGCAATGATCGTCTCTTAGCTGATCCAACTTTCTTTTGAAGGAGTCGACGGATGGAGCCTCAACCACGTGCTGTGGTAATGAATTCCACTCGTTGATTATTCGATGGGAAAGTCGGTAGTCAGCTGACAAGTAATTCGTTCTGGGCTTGTGAACTTTTTTGGAGTGTCCTCGTAGATTTTCTGTTTTGGAAGACAAGAAAAATGAGGGCATATCATGTGCAAATTTGTCATTAAGCAATTTGAAAACTGTAATCAAGTCGCCTCTGATTCTTCTATATAACAGCGGAAATAGGTTTAGTTTGGTCAGTCTAGTACCATATGGGAGCTTCGCTATTCCGGGAATCAGCCTAGTTGCTGTTCTCTGAACCCTTTTCAAGAGTTCACTGTCTTTTTTTAGGCAGGAGCTAGCTGCTTGTATGTAGTACTCAAGTTTAGGGCGTACGAACACTGTATACAAAGTCAGAAACGTTTTAGCGTCAAGATGCCTAAAAGCCCTGCGTATGGACCATAAAGTCCTAAAACCTTTGGCGGCTATTGCACGGCAGTGTGCAGTAGTCTTTAAGTCTTGACTGACGATGACGCCTAAGTCGTTGTGTGCCTGAACAATAGGTAACTCAGTGTTATTCATCGTGTATGTATCTGTACCCTGGTGGCCAATATGCATCACAATACACTTGGAAGTGTTTATCGGCAATTGCCAGGTTTGGGACCATTCAGATAATCTCTCCAGGTCATTTTGAAGTTCTAAGCTATCGCCCTTGCTTTGTATCGCTCTCCATATTTTGATATCATCAGCATAGAGTAAGACCGATGATGATAGTAGATGAAGGAGGTCATTTACGTACAGGAGGAATAACACTGGCCCCAAAATTGTATCCTGGGGGACTCCACTGAGCACAGTTTCCCAGCTAGACAACTTGGAGTTCACCCTTACTCTTTGTTGACGTCCAACTAGGAAGTCTTTTATCCACATCAATAGTTTGCCTTCAATCCCGAAATTCCTCAGCTTATATAACAGCCGGTTATGCGGAACTTTGTCGAAAGCTTTGCTGAAATCAATGTAAGCTACGTCTATAGGTAACTTTTGGTCCTTAAGAGCGCACCAGCTTTCACGAGCGACTAGTAAGTTTGTGAGACAAAAGTAACCTGTTCTAAAACCATGCTGTTTTTCGGAGAGGATCCGGTTTTCATCGAGATACTTTAACAGCTCCTTCCGAATAATATTTTCTAAGATTTTAACAACCACACTAGTTAGGTTAATTGGTCGGTAATTCTCAGGTTTATGTTTTGTACCTGTTTTGAAAACTGGACTTACTATGGCGTTCTTCCAGTCTTTTGTTAGACGACCCTGATTTACGGATAGATTAAAACATACACTTAAAGGGTTCGCAACAAAGTTAGCTAATTCCTTTAGTAACCTAGGATGCATTTCATCAGGTCCAGTGGATTTACCTATGTCAAGCTTAACTAGCAGACCAAAGACATCGAGTTCTTTAATGGTTACGCTGTCCAGTGCTTGTGTGGGGGGGGTTTTCATGGACTGGTGAGAAGGGTGTTTCTATGGTGTATACATCGCTAAAGTATTTAGAGAATACTTGAGCTTTGCCAAAGTCGTCCTCCACTAGTGATGTGGCAGTACTGTCTCCCCATAGTGAAGGAACATTTCTTCTTCTTTCTGCCCTTTGGTTTATGTACGAATACAAGCGTTTAGGGCATTCTATGGATTCCCTAACGATTTTCTCTTCTTACAGCTTTCTGGCTTTATGTAGGGTCGAGGCACAGGTATTTCGAGCCTTTTGATACTGAGATTTTGCCTCGTCAGTCCCCAGTAACCTAAATCTGTCCCACATTGTCCTTCTTTTACGGAGAAGGATGCGAACCTCCCTACTGAACCACGGTGGTGAGTTTCTCGGCCCCTTAGGTGTAATCCAAGGGATGTGGGGGCGGTAACTTTTAAGTATAAATTCCAGAATACGTCCCAAGCCGTCTCGATCGATGACTCTGGGTCTATTTTCCAATCTACTGATGATGCTGATTTCATGATGTCTGGTATGCTTGCTTTCCAGACGTTAGGTCTGGATTGAGCTGAGGCGTGCTCGTTATCGACATTTATATGGAAGTCAAAGCTTAAAACTGCATGATCACTTTTGCCTAGGGGTGGCATGTAATCCAGGTTTGCAACATCATCCTCATAATGAGTCAATATAAGATCTAGTAAGGATGATGCAGAACCCGGGTCGTACCTAGTTGCTTCCTTCACGTGTTGCACTAGGGCACATGTGATTACCGCATCAACTAGTTCCTGTTAGAAGGAACTTGCTGACGATTCAGTCCGCAGATTTTCCCAGTCCACCATGGGTGCATTGAAGTCCCCTAGGATTAGACATCGATCACTTCGTGATAAAGTGTTGAGACTTCTTAGCAGGACCTCGTTTACCTCACAACTTGGACTGCGATAGATCAAACTAAGTAGCAACTCTTGTCCCCGGCATTTCAGGCGACAGCTAACTAATTCATACGTCCCACTTTCATGGGATACACGGTCGATAATGGTGAATGGAATAGCATTCCTAATGAATACAGCTACTCCCCCTAGTTTACGCGTTTGTATTCTATCGGCCCTTACTAAAGTAAAACCCTCGAAATCAAGTTCCCTACTCTCTATAGACGGCATCAGCCATGTTTCTGTGACTGCGATTATGTCTGGCCTAGTTGAGTCAATCTGTACACCTAGTTCCGGTAGCTTATTAAGTTAGCTCCGGGCATTGATATAACAGATCCGAAGCCTATTTAGGTGGCCTCGTGCTTCACTCAGAGTGGCTTCGGCATCATCCTGTGTCGAAACCTCACAACCCGAAAATTAACAATTTTCAGGTCTTTTTCGCCAGCGTCTAATCTGAGCTGTAGTTCTTTTTCAGCTTCCCGTCTTTTAACACGGTCCGCCAACGGTAAGTCCTTACGGAGAAAAACTCCTGAACCCTTCAATTTGTGTCCATTTTCTAAAATTAAGTCGCGTTCGTTCGGGGATTTGAAAACGACTTTGAGTAGTCTAGACTGATTTGGCTTCAGATGCGCTAGGTTTCCTAGCCTATACACCTTTAGCAAGGTGACTGCGGAGATGTTTTGGGGCATAACTTGGTTGAGTAGTTGTTTTATCAACACAACGTCATGCTCAAAACGAGCTTTCGGTTCTAAGCTGTCACCCTCCTTGACTCTATGGAAAATAACTGATCTGTCGCTGTGATCAGACCTCGGCTTGTCGACCCTTTTGGTGGGGGGTAGGATTCCCTTTTAAGTCATTTTGCCGTTTTCTCCTTACAACCCGTACCCAATCGCCAACGTTCTTTGGAGTAGTAACCACAGTCGCGTCAGGCGTACTGTGGGATTCCGGAAGGTTCAGGACAACTTGGGAGGTTGGGTCATCTTTCGCGCTGGAAACCGATCGAGACTTGCGATTTTGGGTTCCGGATGTTCCCTTTTGGGTATCGTTTTTGGTACGAGGGTCAGAAGAGACTTTTTTGCGCGAGTTTCTGGTTGTGACAGACCTCTTTGGAGGATGTTCTTCCTCCTTTGGATAGTATGGGTCAGCATTTTTTGGACCCACTTGGGCCTGCCTTGTGTCGATCTGCGTGTCGACAGATTGCGTTCTGACTGATGTGTCCCGACCGCGCTTGCCGAGACACTTTTTCGCGGCATTTACTATTGAGATGACCTCGGTTAACAGGCTATTTGCATCCAAACAGCACTGTTGACATAGCCATATGCATCCATTTTTACTGAACCGCTTGAAAGCTGCAGGCGTTAGATTCGTGCAAACCTCGTGGTACCAACCTTTGCACTCATCGCACTGCATGCCGCTGTCAACGGGATATCGACATCCTGGGTGGTGGCAAATGCTTTTGTTGCATCTTCCAGTCATTTTAGGGTGAGAAGTGAGTTTTTACTAAAATTAGAAAAAGCTATAAATAGTTAGGACCAAAGTACTAACAGATACAATAGAAAAAACAAGGTACTCTGGAGTACCGACGACAAAACTATTTAGGATACCAAAATGATACTCTAGTCGAATACTTTAACTTAAAGAAATTCAATCAAAGTAATAAAAACAGTAGTCTTGATACGTTAATAACGATCAAAACAATGGAATTTACTCAACGAGGAAAAATACCACTGTCCTTTTTAAATAGCGCGCAGCATTTGAAAATTCATTTGGTTAGCGACATCATTTCTCAAAAGACTAACTTTTAGGCAAGAATTATAAGCAAGGCGATTGCGAATCCGTTTTAAACGTAATAAGAAATTCCTAGGAAGAACCGAATTGCAAATTCGCGTTTTGGAATACGTCATCGTCGCGTTCTAAATGAAGACTATAGTTATAGAATGTTGTCTACTCTCGCTTTTTCTCTTCCTTCTGGTAGTTTGTTAGACTTGGAGGACCTCTTCACGTCAAGGAAAACACACATAATACAATGGATACTTTGGAGCTATGAGATGGTCAGAAGTCTTCGAACCAATTTACTAGCTAGGAATTCTCGAAACAGTGCAATTGAAGCCACACAGAACTAGTTGAACACAAAGTAACGTATTGTATTTGGAATTCATAATCTGTGAACAATCAAGTACAAATGAATCTTTAGTTCACACAAATACCACAACCTAGCTGCATGACTTGAACTTGAGATTTAACTAATTCCTTCCATCCCATATATAGCAATGAACGCGAGCTAAGACACAATGTATTAAAGCCCTCGGTGACAGCAGCAGTGTCTAGTACATCATAATTCAGCCTCCATATGGCATATGTCCCACATTCTTACAGGTCTTTAGGCTTGTCGCAAGAGTATTATATCCCTTTGCAAAAAAGGTAGAAGATCAATGATGTGCGATTCATATTGTGTGTAGATTTAGGTCTTAAATAATGTTACAAATAGCCTGGTATTAGAAATACTTTGTCGTATTTTGGCGAGGTGAATCGGAACCTATGTGTGGTATATGCTAATTATGCTGACAGATATAACTGGCATGGAGCACCAGTCAAACATCGCGTGCCCACCAACATAAGATTGAATTGAGAGGAACAGGAAGAGAAAAAGATAAATCTAATTTTTCACAGTTGAAATCATGAGTCAATTGAAGCTAGACCACCATGGAAAACCAATTGTCTTCAGTGACTGACTTCAAGAAATATTTCCGTGAGTTCTAGTGGGAAGCAGTGACCAGTGGAGTTCTACCAGGTCTGTTGTAGAGAAATCATCTCACTGAAGACAATTGGTGAACGGTCGCTCAAAATCGTGGATTGGTTAAAGTTAGACATTAACACCAATGGATGCCGGATCAGTGGTCTATCGGTTAAGGGCTTCGGCTGGAGACTGGTAGGTCCTAGGTTCGAATTTTGCGAGTGCGGGATCGTGGATGCGCACTGCCGAGGAGTCCCATAATAGGACAAAACAGCCGTTCAGTGCTTCCAAGATTTCCATGGTGGTCTTGCTTCAATTGACTCATGAGTTCAACTGTGAAAATACTAAATTCTCCACAAAACCTCCTCTGATCTAAAATCTAATTTTCACAATGGGAAATTTTAATATTCTAAAATCTTGGAATAACAACAGAATTGGAACAACCATGAGGTATATAAACGACTACTGAAGGAAGATATGCAAATGAAGCATTTAATGTATGGCTCCTTTATTTTAAGAAATCTCTCTGTAGTGTTGCGTCAAACAATAAATACTGAATGAATTTAAACAGTAAATTGGTTTCCCCCACATCAGTCCGCATTCACTACATTTGGTGTCGTTTACAGAATGGGTAGAGAGGTTGTAGTTCTTCAGGCTCCGTTGCAAAGCTGCAAGACGAATCACTAGTTAGATCGTAAGATGCAGAAAGGAGCCTGAGGGCTAATTATTATTAATTTCGCCACGACTTTTTTCAGATTGTCTGCAAATAAAGTGATGTTTTCTAGAATCACCATTATTAATGTCGTCGTCTTCACATATGTGAATGTTCTCAAATGGTGCAAATTCAAAAGCTTGTAAATTTTCGGAAACTCATACTCTGTTCACGAATCTGAATCTACAAATATTAGTTTTATTTTCGATAATCAATATTCTGTTCGTATAACCTTCTATCTTTCGTGAGTAATCTGAATTCAACAACTAACGCCAAGCAAACAAAGTTAACCAAAGAACACCGTTACTTTAAATAAAAATTTAGGAACTAAGATACTAATATTTTTCATCTGAATTTAATTATCCTTGAGACTATTGTGTTGGATAACCTGTAAGACTAGGTCTCTACGTCTTCGAACAGTAATTGTAGCAAAATGTTTGTAATTTCTCAATTCATATTATAAACTTAGTCACCGAGTAGAACTTATTTAGCAAGTTATTATAAACGAAGTAGCTCTATGATACATATAGTCAAAATTTGTTCTGAACGACCCACCATTATTGAAAAGAATTGAGGAGGCAAGCCGTATAAACTGAAAAGTTGCTGAACCTGAGTTATCAGATAACAATATGTATGACATTACAGTTAGATATATATTTCTATATGATGTCAATTTGACATCGGCTGTTCATTTGAGCGACCAATTATGATGTATAACTGTTGGAAGTTATTTGAATATTTTTCAAAGAACAAGGTAATGAGCATATATTAACGACAAGTTGGGTTTCCATTCAGGTATTCCTCGAACTACAAGTTGAATATATGTATGTAAAACGTCATTTCTGAAAAGCTTAGATCAGGTGTCAGCTTATTGTTTTCATCGTCGTATTGTTTTTCTTGTCCGGTGCTCGTCTAGCTAACTCAGTCCTCAAATATATGTAGATTCCGTCAATTCATTTATCACGCACCTTGTCTCGTCGAATTTCAAAATGTAGATTCTACCTCACGACCTATATTTTCGTTACAAGAGAATCTTAGAAATCGACTGGTGTCTCAGTATTACGCAAAGGAATTAGCAGTGTATTAATTTAATCAGAAATATTTACTTAACTGACCATCCATTACCTTCATGAACAAAACCATTTACAATTACCTTATACAAGTTTTCTTGATTATTAATCAGTCTATTATTATGACCTTTGTGTTTGTCGCTTTTCTTCATATCTGTCAATTGGACTATTATCTGACCCATAAATTATTTTCTTCCTTAACCCTTGATTAGTACGTAACCTCATTTGTTATTTATTGTCGAATCAATTTACAATGCAATCTTTCCTGGCCTCCTGTAGACATATATTTTCCATATAACTATATGTACAAATGTACAGCTTAAGTAAATGATTCCGTGGAAAAGAAAATTTTTCTTCGATGAATTCTCTTTTCTTATTCAATGACACTGAGTTACTTTAATTATCTCTCTAAATGTCACGTAGTGAATACCCAGCTCAACAAAACCTCAATTTTGCCTTACTCTTCAGTTGAGTAAGTTATTTTCATTATTAATACTACCAATAATAATGTCACTTGTATATCTTTGACAAAATCCCTACTTTTAACTTGAATATGTCTCTATTATATCTCGTCGTCAATTTGTTATAACTGGCCGTCAATGATCGTTATGTCAGAATCACTTATTACTTATACTTGTAAAATGAGGAACCAGTGCAATTCCCACGAAACGAAGTACGAACACTAAGACTGGTACAAATGAAAATTTATTCAGTACAAAATACGACGACGATCCTAGTCGAAAATACACTTATTTATATATTGACTGTCTACCTATCTTTTTATTATTAATTAAGATGAAATGACATATATGACAAAAACCCAGAGTTATAACAAGCTGCATGCCGAGTGTCATGCTAAGCATAGTCCATGTTAATTTAATAGAAGAATCACAATGAGTAAAAGAATGTGATCTTGCCTTTTCATCCCATCGTATTAGTCTAATCCCAACATCATAAACCAAGCACTTTTTATCACTATGTCATAACATTTGTTTTTTTAAGACTTTGGTTTCTATCTCATTAATTAAAAGGCATCATCAATTTAGTTATTTTATTTATTTATTTGAACACATAAATATTGGTACAAAGGGACACCAGATATATGTGCGCCACAAAAATCGAATGAGATTTGTGTGAGCACTGTGATACTGCCCAAGTGCCCAAATCGAAACAGGTGGTTTTTTTAGGGGACCACACCCCGAGCCTTGGACCTGAACGTCTAACCGATAAGGCAGTGGAACATCATAAGGAGATGCAGTCCCATGGTATCCGGTGAAAAACAATTGATTCATATGCCATTTTTTCCCTCAGGATACTGGAGCCAGCCTATGTGGACCATTAGTTTGGAATGAGGGTTTTCCAACTCCCCTAGGTGGACTATCCGTGTCCACCAACCCGGGTAAATCGGCACACATTCGCTTTTCGTCCTCTCAATTTCGTAAACAACAGTAATGTCACGAGAAGGCAGTGAATTATTACTCTCAGATAATCCTTATTGGTTTAAACTATTTATAAACGATGAAAAATTCGAACTATTTTTCTGTCCTGTATTATCCATTTCAATATTAAGCCTCATCAACTTTTGTATAGAAGAACATAATCAATAGTAAAGCTGTGGCTACATTTAGATTGACATAAATGCATAAAATATTAAGATTATAGAGTAGTTAGTTCATTTTATAACATGCGTTAATAATCATTTATTTTTAACTAACAATTAAGATTGAGTAAAAACCACTGACGAATCGGACTTACTTACTTACTTACGCCTGTTACTCCTAATAGAGCATAGGCCGCCGACCAGCAATTGTCAACCCACTCTGTCCTCGGTCTTCCTTTCTAGTTGTATCCAATTTCTGTTCATTTTCCTCATGTCTGTCTCCATTTGTCGACGTAATGCATTCTTTAGTCTTCCTGTTTTCTTTTGACCTTCAGAATTCCATGTGAGGGCTTGTCTTGTGACGTCTGTAGCCCCTCCGGGGGCTACTGCCGATCCCAAGCCTGGATAAAGGAGGAGGGTTGGGCATGGGGTTAGCGACCCCATCCCACAGAAAACTAACTCGCTACAAAAACGCTAACCAGGAAATATTATTCAAACCATTTAGACAAATTGGACCATTTTTGTAAAATTTTTCGACGATCCGAGGTTCAATCCTCTATAAGGGTTTCAGTTTTTACTACTGTAATCTTAAACTAAGAGGTGATAGTTGTCTAATCCTCCGCAATGTTTAATAGCGCTCTTAATGATAAGATTTGTGTGAAAAAAGAAAGTTTATGTTGCTTATATTTTCCTTACAAAAGAATCTTAGAAATCGACTGGTGTCTAAGTATTACGCAAAGGAATTAGCAGTGTATTAATTTAATCAGAAATATTTACTTAACTGACCATCCATTACCTTCATGAACAAAACCATTTACAATTACCTTATACAAGTTTTCTTGATTATTAATCAGTCTATTATTATGACCTTTGTGTTTGTCGCTTTTCTTCATATCTGTCAATTGGACTATTATCTGACCCATAAATTATTTTCTTCCTTAACCCTTGATTAGTACGTAACCTCATTTGTTATTTATTGTCGAATCAATTTACAATGCAATTTTCCTGGCCACCTATAGACATATATTTTCCGTATAAATATATATACGAATGTGCAGCTTAAGAAGATGATTCCGTGGAAAAGAAAATTTTTCTTCGATGAATCCTCTTTTTCTTATTCAGTGACACTGAGTTACTTTAATTATCTATCTAAATGTCACGTAGTGAATACTCAGCTCCACACAGCCTCCGTAGCTAATGGCCACCCCCGTTCAACTAGCTCGACAAGACATATCTAGGTTGAGAATAAACGTTAAGCTAATCCATCTTATCGGTCTATGCAAAGACAGCTTAGCTTACGCACTAGAATTATTCATACTGTCCTATAATGAATTCATGGTCTTACACAGAAATCAACTAAGGAAAAACCTTATGAAGGTCGACTTCGACGCACGGGAATGTTCCTGTTGAGTTACAGGAGAATAAAAAGGGACCTAATGGTGATATACTCCACCCCAAGTTGATAAAAACGTGGTATCAGTATATTGGAACCGTGTTCCGACCGATTAATCACGACAGACACAATGCCAAAGAGTGAACATATAGGTTAGATCACCGAATAGATTATTGCTGTCAGAATCTACTTGAAACGCTCACGGAGTAAAAATACAGCCCCTCTGATTGAGCGGTTTCCAGAGGATGCCTAAAAATAGTGTGCATACTAATTGTTTCCAGTCCTTTGTTTGCAATATTGGTTAAATGTACTCACTAATGAGGAGGTCATTGTCAGACTTGTTAGCAAAGACTGTACCATTTCACATTTTATCTATCGTTATTATCGTTATTTGTTGTCTTTAGCAACCCTCTATGTTCGGCCTTATCTCTTATCATAACCATACGACCGTCTTATATATATGCTTCTTTATCTACTTCTTTTCTTGACTAACTAGCAAATCTACTCTCTTGTTTAATTTTGGATCATGTGATCCCTTTTCTTCCTTCCGTGACAATTCTAGGAATTTCATATTACAACCAATTAGTTAGCTACCATTAAATATAATGACTGCTAGCCCTAGTAACTCCAATTCCTTCGCTGATAAATTTACTGAATTCGCCGTTACTGCCCTCAATGATTCACTTTCAATTGTATGTGGTGATTTCAATTCATGTGACTGTAGCTTCCTTACATCACTAGGTCACCTAAATGTAGTAGATTTTCCTACTCGTTTGAATGCTCATCTAGACTTGGTTTTCATCAATGATGTGGGTACCTAGGTGACTCGCAAACGTGCTCCACTGTGTAGCTCGGATCACTGTAGGACCTGATGGTATCCCAAACCTCCTTTTTAAAAAATGTGCCGATGTTTTATGTTATCCATTAACGAATATCTTCAACAGATCCTTCTCAACTAATGTCTTACTGAAAATGTCGAGAAAGATAAAGATAATCCCTATACCAAAGAAAACTTTTGGTGATAAAAATGCGAAATTTGGACCCATTACAATAACTTCACCTTTCCTCAAAATAATGGAAAAATTACTGATACAACCACTTCAACCTGTAATAAAAGAGCACTGTGATCCATATCAGTTTGCTTACAAATGCAAAAGAAGCACATTAGATGCCGTTGCTGTTCTGCATCACAATATAGTGTTCGGGTTGGAAAAGGGTAAGAAGTATGTTAGATGCGCTTTCCTGGACTTTACTTCTGCTTTTGATTTTATTCCAAGACACCTCTTACTTAACAAGCTGATCAGCGTCGATACTGACAGCTGGATAACCAATTGGCTATGTCCCTACCTTTCTGGAAGAGAACAGTACACTGTCTTTGAAGGAAAGTGTTCAACATCTCTACTGTCTACTATAGGTGTGCCACAAGGAGCTGTTCTTTCACCTATGCTCTTCTATTTTTTCTGCATGATCTGCCATCTTCCACAGAAAACACTTTTGTAAAATATGCAGACGACCTCACTGTATGTATGCCGAATTCAACCTCCTTACATCCCATAGAAATGAATGAGTTTTTATCTCGTATTGAAAGGTGGTCTGTTGGCAATGATCTCTTACTCAATCCATCTAAATGTCAAGCTGTTAACTTTAGCTTGAGACATGGACAGAACATACACTCTATTTTGAGATCACATAATGCATGTGCCATTGGAGACTCTTTAATAAACATAGTATCGAAAGTCAAATATCTTGGTGTCATTTTTTCCTCTGATATTTCTTCGTCTTCTCATGTTTTACTGTTATCGAAAAAAGTTTACCGTTTGACATACTACATAAAGAGGCTGCATGCTTTTGGGATTACTCGCCATTTACTCTTACAATTTGTAAATTCCTGCATACTACCTATTATTTTATATTGTTCTCCATTATTCTTTCCTGGGCTTTTGAGAAAAGACTTTGCTGTTTTGCGTAAAGTGCTGAAGGCAGTTTGCAAGGTATGTGGTGAATCTTTTGAGGTCATTATTAATATGCTTGTGGATAGACATCTTAAGTCTTGCAAACTCTTGGCAGGTGTTATCTTATCAGATACTAACCATCCGCTTCATTCATATCTTTCTTCTTGTATATCTTCTGGTAGAACGAGACGTAAATACATTAAAATCCATACACGCAAGCAAGTCTATAAAAGTTATGTAATACCTTACTTAGAAAGTTTACTTTGTTACGAACAGGCTGTTAGAGTTGACCTACTAAATAACCTGTCTTCTTAAGCATGTTTCAATTTTGATAATTTGTATAAACTCAGTTTTTTTTCTTAAACCTTTTTCATTCATTTTCTGTTTTTTTGTTTTTCTTAGGCTTTTTTGTTTGTTTTTTTAGTAAAAAACTTGTTGAAATAACTCGTGCTGAGAATTCTATATTGTACCAGATTATAATATTGAATCAAGCCAATAATAATAATAAAAACAAATGCACAGATTTATACATACCAACGTCAGAAATAGACACCACGTTCATTGTGAAAAACCTGCCTGAATGATGTCGGAGACATAGAACAATGCCTAAATACTAAGACACAAACTCAAAGAAACCAATTAGTTTACTCACCGGCGTTGTAGATATTAGAAATTGAAAGACCTTGGAGCTCTTTCAAGGTTTTGCGGAACAATTTCTTTAAAAGGTATGTTGTCAATTTTAGTTATTTCTCAGTACTCTTTTATGCAATTCCCATGGTTTGCAAGTTTTGATATTAACAAACATGTATAAAGACTGTTTTTTGCTGTGTGCATGGTGTAACTTTGACTTTAGCATATTTCGATCTCCACTATTAACCTTCCTAGGAAAGTTCTTCACAAATTGAATTGGCATCAGCTTTTACTGTATTGTTCTCAATTTTTAGCGAAATTTCAGTTATGTCCTTGATATCTTGCAAAAGCAAATTCACTTTGTGTTTAATCAGCTCTTAATGATTACTGTTCTAGAGATGAAATGCGACTAGCAATAGCTCAGTTCAGGAAACCTACGCAGATTCAGAATATAGTTAAAACCCATTTATCCGCAGGGTTTCTCCGGATCTTGCATGCTTTAGAAAGGGAAGTTTCAATACATACGAAGTTATGCCTACTGTCCTATTTTTATTTATTTATTTAAACACAGGCATTAGTATAAGGAGGCACCAAAATGGTTCAAATGGTTGAGGACGGAGTAGAAGAGGCTTTCGCTTAACGGGCTTCCGTGTCTAGTAGCAGTGGATCACCAAAACTTTCAGGCAAAAACCTAGGTATATTAGCGATAATAGAGGAAAAAAAGAATTTGGTAAATCATAATAATATGTTATCCTTAGTCCTTAAAAATAAGTCAAGTTTCCTCTTTAAGGACTTTTGGGAAATCGCTTGTACTAGCTCAGTCGGCAGGGATTCCAGCATTTGACAACTCTTACGGAGTAGAAGTTGTGTCTGCAGTCTGTTCTTTTATGTTGGGTCTTCAGTTTCTGGGTGTTACCTCTTAAGTTAGTGTTGTGACTAAGCTTAAGAAGATGTTTAAGGGGATGACCAGATGTATTAAGTATAATGTAAGTCATAAGAAGGTCACCTGTGAGACGCCTGTACTCTAACGGGTAAAGGTTAAGTGATTGGAGGCGCTCTTCGTAAGGTTTGAATTTGAGTCCCCGAACTGATTTCGTGGCTCGACGTTGGATACGTTTCAAAGTGTCCCTATTCTTTTGGAGGGAGGAAGGAAATGCTATGTTACCGTACTCCAAATGGGGACGAATAAAACTGTTGAAGATTATGTGGAAGGTTCTACCGTCAAACTGGCCAAAAATGCACTTCAATGTTACCAGTGCAAGGTTTACTTGAAAGGCGTTTTTGTCACAATTCGCATACGACTTCAGGTCATAGGGGACCAACAATCCCAAATCTTTTTCAACTTGGGAAATTTCTAGAGAGGAGTTTCCTAAGTTGTAACTATAGTCTGCAACATGTCGCAGATGGACTACTTTGCACTTTGAAGTGTTAAAGGTAAGTCCGTTGTCGTCTGCCCAACTTTGAAGTCGTCAGATCCTCCTGAAGTGCTAGTATATCCGAATATATATGCGTCATACAAGTCAAATGGTTTGTGTATAGGCTGGAATACTGCGAGCGGAATTGTGGATAGACACTGCTGAGGAGTCGCGTACTAGAACGAAACGACCGTTCAGTACTTCCAAGTTTTAAATAGTGGTCTCGCTTAGAGTGACTCGTGAATTCAACTTTGAAAATGTATCTCTACCAAAAAATCTTTCGGGTCATGCGGACGATTTGAGTTTCACAGTATGATCTTAAAACTAATTTGCAGTATATTACTTCACAGTTTTAGTTTCTGTTACTACTTGACACATATTGTGACTAGTTATTTGTTCTCTATTGGTTTTCTATCTACTCCATCAAAGCTTTAATAATTTCATGTTTTCTTTCGTCTTTTTAGATTGATTTTCTATGACAGGAATTTATTCCTTTTTCAAATTAACTCCACTTCTATAACTTTTACTGTCTTTGTATACAATATAAAGTATTAATTAATACGGAAAACAATGGCCAAAGATTTATTCGCAGTCCTACGACAGGTAAAACCATTCTTCACTCTTGAACAATAATTTTTATGATTAGAATAATGAACTACCAAATCTCCCGTCAGCAGAAGAAGCCGTGGTAGTAGATGGTGGTTCTCAAATGGATCTTTTCTTTAGTGAAGTATTTCAACTATCTACGTTAATGTAATCGCAACAAATTGAAATTTGTTAGGTTGAATGGATTCGAAGAGAAATCGAAAAGACTCGCATAGAAATAAGTCAAGTTAAAACAAAACACGGTGAAATTTTGTCGGCACTTCAACAAAATCCAAGTGAGTAAAAATTCTAAATGATACAACACATTTACCTGAGCAGTATAAACATAATCTTGGGTTCAGTATAGTTTTTAAGAGGATAACTGAAATTCGCTGATGTGAACTTTTTGGAAATTGCTTTGATTTTTTTCTCGTCAATTTTTCTCTAACATACCTGGTACCTAGCATCTTAAAATGAGGCACATTTTTTCCCGTTCTACATCGTTTTATGATTGACCGAGTTAAGGTATAAATTGACTTCTGCAATTGTTGGTTGGTTTCGTTTTCAAAAATATTATCTTTATGGTCATTGTGAGATAAATCCTAATATTTTTATTGATTCATTTTCAACTAATCAAGGTAAGTGGGTCAGCTCGAAAAGAACTAGGAGTTTCTCCTATAATTCTTTCAATAGAAATTTGTGTATCTTAATGGAATGCTAATCCATCGGGGTTTCCCCGCGTGGGTAAAATTGCCCACAAATGCCCTGGTACGGCCGAGAGTGGGGAGAGTCTGCTCCCCCTCTCGAAATGCTCTCACATGGCCACGCGAATACATAGCCTCTGCCAGGGAAGTCCTACTCACTGCCTTCTCGTGGCGGGGGTGTTGCTTACGAAAGTGAGAGGACGAAAAGCGAATGTTCGGCGATTTAACCGGGTTGATGGACACGGAAAGTCCACCTAGGGGAGTTGGAAACACTGATTCCAAACCAATGGTGCACATGGGCTGGCTCCAGTATCCTGATGGAACGAATGGCGAATGAACCTGTTGTCGGTCAACGGCTACCATGGGACTGCATCTCCTCACGATGCTCCACTGCCTTGTGGATTAGACCTTTAGGTCAAAGGCTCTAGGTGTGGCCCCCTAAGAAAACCACCTGCTTCGGTTTGGACACCCGGGCAGTATCACAGTCCTCTCGCAAATAAATGAAATGGAACATTCAGCTGACAATTATATTCTCGTTCATACAAGAAACAATTCAATTGGCATTATTGTTACTATTATTATTATTATTTACCATATCGCTAATTCACCCCCTTTTATCCCCAATTTGTGTAACCTTACTTTTCATATTATGCAGCAGCTCGCTCTTGATGGAAAATCTGTCCTATCTAAACGATCTCCAGTCACTGTCTGGTTGAAAGTGAATGCTTCCACCGATTATGAATACTGAAGCAGTCTTTCTGAAACCACGTACGCCGTTCAAGCTGGCTTCCTTCAACGTTCGCACACTAATGCAGATCAGACAACAGATAGGGCTGGCTATGTCTTTGGAAGGTCTTAATGTTGACGTTTGTTGTCTATCCGAGACCCGCATTCAAGACTCTAATGAAGTACTACAAATTCGCTCTCCATCTGTCGCTTCGAAAAGCTTGTTTCACGTGCGCTTATCCGGGGACCCTGTGGCATCTTCGTCTGGTCTTGCTGGCGTTGGTGTCGCACTAAGCGCTAGAGCTGAGGCAACACTAATCGACTGGATCCCCATTAACAGTCGGTTATGTGCTGTTAGATTAGAAAGTTCTATCAAAGTGAGAAGAAATCGGCGTGAGAAACGGTGTCTTTTCGTCATCTCCGCCTATGCTCCGACAGATTGCAGCCCGGATGCAATCAAGGATAAGTTTTACCATCAGTTAACAGTTCTTCTCCAGAAAGCGCGTTCGACAGATATTGTAATACTAGCCGGAGACTTGAATGCACAGGTCGGGCGTCTAGGCACAGAAGAGAGTCGTTTAGGTGGCCGATGGGGACTTGTTGGTCGCAGGACAGATAACGGGGACCGTTTGCTGCAACTGTGCACAGACCACAACCTGTTTCTGGCCAGCACTAACTTCCGGCACAGTCATCGCCTGTGTGCTACCTGGCGTCCTCCCTCTGCATCCCAAGCCTGGATTCAGATTGATCACATCGCGATCAGCTACCGCTGGCGTGGTTGTGTACAAGACTGCCGCTCCTTTTGGAGTACCTATCTGGAGTCTGATCATGCCCTGGTCTGCGCCAATCTCACCTTACTTTTCAGTGGCCGAAGGATTGACCACCACCAACGGATCGATGTTAGTAAACTGGCTGCAACTTCTGTTGCAAGTAAGTATCGAGCGGAGCTAGCTTCTAGGCTACCTACCATCCCACCGAAAAGTATAGATGAGCATTGGTTGCATCTTCACGACGCCATGAAAATGGCGAGTAAAGTCGCTTGCGGCTTCGCGAAACGTCCAGCTTACAAGCACTGGGTTTCTTCTGGCTCCTTACAACTGATGGAAGTCCGTCGGTCTACTCCGGGTGACCGTGAGTTTGACCACAAACGAAGACTGGTACGTAATGAAATTGGGCAAAGCTTGCGTAAGGACCGAAAAGCCTGGTGGTCGGAGCGTGCTAATGAGATGGAAGCAGCAGTTGCATCTGGTAACTGCCGGAAGCTCTTCCAAATCATCCGAGCCACTGGCAGCAAGAAGTCTGGTGTGAGTGAAACAATCTACGAGGATGACGGGATGCCAATCACTAACATCTCTCGACGTCTTGGACGATGGGCTGAATTTTTCGAAGGGCAGTTCAATTGGCCTGCTGCTCCGGCAACATCGACCAGTTTGTCCTGCCCCCCATGGCCGGTGACGACTGATCCACCAAACGAGGCGGAAGTCCGCAAGGAACTCCAACTCTTGAAGCGCTACAAATCACCTGGCCCAGATGACTTACCTCCGGCTCTTTTTAAAGATGGTGGTGACTTTCTGGCTAAGGAACTGACTGCGTTGTTTGCAAAGGTTTGGGAGGAAGAAAGTGTTCCAACATCATGGAATGAGTCGATAGTCGTCCCTATCTTTAAAAAGGGTTCACGTTGTTCCTGTGATAACTATCGGGGGATAAGTCTTCTTCCGATTGCGTCCAAACTATTGGCTTCTGTCATTCTTCGTAGGTTGTTTAAAACCCGAGAACGATCGACTCGCGAGGAGCAGGCTGGATTTCGTTCTGGTTGAGGATGCATTGATCACATCTTCACCCTCCGCCAAATGTTAGAACACCGTCATACTTATCGCAGGCCAACAATCGTAGTGTTTCTTGATATCAGGGCGGCCTTCGATTCGTTGGACAGGACTGTTCTCTGGGATTGTCTATTGAAGAAGGGTGTTCCTGAGATGTTCGTTTGCTTATCATGCTTGTGAATCAAGGCTATATCGAGGCACAGTATGCACATATGTCAACTAGAGACTGACCAGTTGCAGTCCTAACACATCGATGGGAAGATTCAAACAAAAAATACTAAGTCAATATGAATACAGCTTTAAAAAAGAAAGAAATAGAAACTCAATATCCTTAATTATTTTTGGTTTAGAAATTACTGTGAAAAGTTTAGATTTTCAGTCAGGTAATTTATTTCGTTTCATTAAGATAGTTTATCAACATTAACTAGAACGCGATATAGAGAGTTTTGGAACTTAAACAACCTTTGACACCATTATTTATCCTGAATGACTAAGTCGGAATCTCATTTGATGTTATTTCCCGCTGTATGTCTAAAACCACCAGTTAACTTTTCTCCAGAAAGCGCGTTCGACAGATATTGTAGTACTAGCCGGAGACTTGAATGCACAGTTCGGGCGTCTAGGCACATAAGAGAGTTGTTTAAGTGGCCGATGGGCAGAGTGAGGGCATACAACCACCTTTCTCCCTTATTCCGTTCAAGCAGTGGGGTTTGGCAGAGTTGCCCAATCTCACCATTCCTCTTCAACTTTGCCATCGATGACATTCTGCAAACAGCTCTGATAGATGTAAGTAATGGCGGTGTGGATCTGCTGTCTGGAGAACGATTTCTCGACCTTGAGTATGCGCATGATATTGTCTTACTGTGTGATAATGCCCAAGGCATGCAATCCGCACTTAATCAGTTGGCAATCAGTGTCCGCAGGTACGGCATGTGCTTTGCACCCTCCAAGTGCAAGGTACTCCTGCAAGACTGGCAGGATTCTCACCCTGTACTCACCCTGGATGGTGAGCAGATTGAAGTAGTTGAGAAGTTCGTGTATCTAGGTAGCTACATAAGTGCTGGTGGTGGCGTGAGTGATGAGATTGATGCACGTATAATGAAAGCCAGAGCGGCTTATGCCAATCTGGGCCATCTTTGGCGCTTTCGTGATGTTAGTCTGGCTGTAAAAGGTCGGATCTACAACGCGTCGGTGAGAGCAGTTTTGCTCTATGCTTGTGAAACCTGGCCTCTCCGAATTGAGGATATTAGACGTCTCTCTGTGTTCGGTCATCGTTGTCTCCGAAGGATTGCTGACATCCAATGGCAACACCATGTTATTAATGCAGAGGTTCGGCATCGTGTGTTCGGGCTCAGAGACGATAATCCAATTGGTGTCATCATCTTGAAACACTGACTTCGGTGGCTTGAACATGTTCTACGAATGTCGACCCAGAGACTTCCACCTCGTGCATTATTTGTCGATGCTGAGACTGGTTGGAAAAAGCAGAGAGGAGGTCAGTGTATGACATGGTGTCGTGGTATGAAAGAAAGCTGCAAAGGGCTAGCTTCTGTTGGTCCTTCACGACTCCCTGGCTGTGGTCCGAGAGATGGTGCAACACAGTGACTAGAGACGTTATCAGATATGGCTCAGAATAGAAGCCAGTGGCCAGCCTGCTGTAACCTTCTTTTACTTTCTTCATAAAGGGTGGTTATAACTTTCTTAACTGAGGGAGTTCTTCTGGTTGTATATTTCAGTTCCCCTCATCATTATCTTCTCTTTTCTTCCATCCTTTTTTTCTCCTTTTATATATACGCATCTTCCCCCTTTCTCCTCCCATTCTTATTATTTTGTGTGGCGCATATGTATCCGGTGCCTTTGTACCAATATGTGTGATTAAGTAAATAAATAAAAACTCCTGTACCATTTTGTTTCAATTTATTTTGGATTACGTTTTGTTTCCGACTCATTTTCATCTCGGATAAATAAAATAAATTTTATTGATCGAAGTGTACCGTGTAAAAGAATGTAACAATAGTATATATATTAACGACTGTGTTTTGG